TGTGTGTGTGTGTGTGTGTGTGTGTGTGTGTGTGTGTGTGTGTGTGTTTGTCTGTGTCTGTGTCTGTGTGTGTGATATATGTATGTTTATATTTCTTCTATAACATTGAATCTCTACTTCTTAAATTTGGCTAGTGAGATACATATGGAATTTCCTTTTTCCACCTTGTCTTACAGCTAATGGTTGCAGAGAAGAATGGAACAATCCGGTTTTATGATCTAATGGCCCAACAGGCAATTTTATCTCTTCAGTCAGAACAGACACCATTAATGTCAGCACACTGGTGCTTGAAAAACACCTTCAAAGTTGGTGCTGTTGCAGGAAATGATTGGATTATTTGGGATATCACGCGGTCCAGGTAGTTATTTAATCTATCTGTCTGTTACATTAAATAAGTATGTTGCTAAATGACCCATTGGGCCATTCTTCTACATGTAGGCCTCCATGTACAAGGAAAACAGGTCTCCCCTATAGAAGGAATTCTGGGACAGTTAGAAAAGAAGAAAGGTGTTCTCCCTATGATGCCCTAGGGTGGTTCTAAGTCATGTCTATTGTTTTCTATCTATTCCAATTGAGTGCTTACTTGAAATTTTGCTATAGCTTAAATTTATTGGACTTCAAAGAGAAAACACATTTAAAGTCTTTAAGTTCATCTACTTGAATCTAACACATAATTTGCAAAATGCAAACTCTTGTTTTTTAGTTACCCTCAAGAGACAAGACCTGTTCACATGGATGGCGCACACTTGTTTAGGTAATGTACCGTGTTTGTTGGAGTGCACAAATCCTTGATTTGGTGCTGTGCCACTGCCAGCAAAATTTCCCAGCCTCCCCTTTGCATTGGACTTTGGGGATTGGTTTCCTTTTTTGTCTGGTTGCTTTTTAAGGGTTGTTTTGCTTTCCCTATTAAGTAGTGGCTTTGTCTTTTGCATTAGGCAATCAGATTTATTTTTCAAGTACTTAGAAAATGTTTATAATTCACAGAAAGCATGTAGCCAGATTACCAGTGCCACCTCATAATGGGATGGATTATGCTTCCTTCATGTCCTGTGCTGACATACAAATGCACATAGACCCATGTATACAACAAATATCATTGTATTTTAAACAAATTCATGTCAAGTAGTACATGTCTGTAATATGCTGAGGTTTGGTTTTATTTTGGTTTGGTTTGGCTTTTTATTTAACTTAACATTTCTTAGTTTTTGTCATTTTTTTTTTACTTTTATTAATTACACTTTATTCTCTTTGTATCCCCCTATAAGCCCCTCCCAGTCCCACCCTCCCTCCACCTTCTTCACGCATGCCCCTCCCCAAGTCCACTGATAGGGGAGGTCTCCCTCTCCTTCCTTCTGATCTTAGTCTATCAGGTCTCATCAGGAGTGGCTGCATTGTCGTCTTCTGTGGCCTGGTAAGGCTGCTCCCCACTCAGGGGGAGGTGATACTGTGTAATCATTAAGCAGCCTTAGATAACAGGAAAAGCAAATAACCAGGCTGGAAACAGTGGGACATTTGTGATTTGCTGATTTTTTTCTCAAATATCCATAGTAAAATCATGGGGACTCCATTATTACTAAAAATGAAGTGTTTTCATCATAGTATTAAAATTCCATAGATATGGTCCGGAGAGGTGGCTCAGCAGTTACAAGCACTGGCTGCTCTTCCAGAGGACCCAGGTTCAATTCCCAGCACCCACATGGCAGCTCACAACTGTCTGTAACTCTACTTCTAGGGCTTCTGACACCCTCACACAGCCATGCATGCAAGCAAAACACCAATGAACAGAAAATAAAAATAAGTTATATTTTTAGTTCCGTAGATTATAATATAATCCAAAATTCAGAGAGCAAATGTATTTTTTTAATTTTTATTTTTTATATTAATTACAGCTTATTCACTTTGTATCCCAGCTGTACCCCCCTCCCTCATTCCCTCCTAATCCCACCCTCCCTCATCTCCTCCCATGCCCCTCTCTAAGTCCACTGATAGGGGAGGTCCTCCTCCCCTTCCATCTGACCCTAGATTTTCAGGTGTCATCAGGACTGGCTGCAATGTCCTCTTCTGTGGCCTATCAAGGCTGCTCCTCCCTCGGGGGGGGGGGGAGGGGGGTGTCAAAGAGCCAGCCACTGAGTTCATGTTAAAGAGTCCCTGTTCCCCTTACTAGGGCACCCACTTGGATGCTGAGCTGCCAAGGGCTATGTCTGAGCAGGGGTTCTAGGTTATGTCCATGCATGGTCCTTGGTTGGAGAATCAGTCTCAGAGAAGACCCCTGTGCCCATATATATTTGGTGCTTATGGTGCTCCTGTCCTCCCCCTTCTTTCATATGATTCCCTGCACTCTGCCAAAGGTTTGGTTATGAGTCTCTGTATCTGCTTTGATACAATGCTAGGTAGACTCTTTCAGAGGCCCTCTATGGTAGGCTCCTATCCTGTTTCTTGTTTTCTCCTACTTCAAGGAAGTCATGAAATTTGTAGGCAAATGGTGGAAACTAGAAAAGATTATCCTGAGTGAGGTATCCCAGAACCAGAAAGACACATGGTATATATTCACTTATAAGTGGATACTAGACCTATAAGATAGGATAAACATACTAAAATCTGTACACTTAAAGAAGCTAAACAAGAAGGAGGTTCCGGGGTAAGTTGATCAGTCCTCACTTAGAAAGACAAATATATGTATTTTAAATCAATGAATTATATATGGTTTGTGAGAACTCTAAAGAAGGCCTTCTCAGTGTGGTTTAAGCAGCTCTTTGGTATCATTAAAAACTCAGGCTCAGTGCTGGGAAGATGGCTTGCTGGGTAAGAACACTTACTGTGCAGGCTTTAAGACCTGATTTCAGATCTTCAGCACTTAACGTAGCATTAGGGAGTGGAGACAGACCCTACGAGCTTACCAGCCTGCCAGACTGTAAGGAGTGGTGAGCTTCCAGCGGCTCATTCAGAGATCCTGTCCTAAGGCAACAGGAAGGAGAGTAATAGAAGATACTGGTTGTGTTCCTCTGACCAAATATCTTAGCCTGGTGCCACATTACCTAAGATCAGAGGAGAAACAAGAGCACTTCCGTTTTTTTTTTTTTTTTTTTTTTTTTTTGGAGATTGCTATGGCTTCCTTATGCCAATTAAACCTCAGCCCCAAGAGTTGAGTGCAGCTTAGGGTGAGTTGTTACAAAGGGCAGAGGAGCTGTTAGACAGTTACTAATGTCTGAGACCAGCTAACTTACTGTCAACGACTTCTCCTTGTGCTTTCTCTGCCACACTGACAGTACTAGTCATTTGTTGGATGTGCACTGGCACTTGCTGAGGTACCTGAAGGCCTAAATATTCTCAGTGGTTATGTCATCCCAAGTGACTAAAACACAGTTTTAAAGAAATGTCAATAAATGGGGCTGGAGAGATGGCTCAGCAGTTAAACACTGGCTGTTCTTCTAGAGGATCTAGTGTAGGCATACTTTTTAATCTACTGTAATTGAGGTTTCTTATGCCTCTACCTGCTTTCTCCACCCCAGTCCTTTCCAACACCCCAATACCAGGGAGGAGAGAAAGAAGGTTAGTGGGGAGAGGAACCGTAGTTCTCTTTGGCTACTTCCTCCTGGTTAGGGTCATGGATTCCTTGGGACAAGTCAATCTTCATTTCAGGATATCTCCAACTTCTTTTTTTTTTTTTAATTTTTTTATATTAATTACAATTTATTCACTTTGTATCCCAGCTGTAGTCCCCTTTCTTATTCCCTCCCAACCCCACCCTCTCTCCCTCCCTCTTCTCCTCCCATGCCCCTTCCCCAGTCCACTGATAGGGGAGGTCCTCCTCCCCTTCCATCTGACCCTAGCCTATCAGGTCTCATCAGAACTGTCTGTGTTGTCTTCCTCTGTGGCCTGGTAAGGCTGCTCGCCCATCAGGGGGAGGTGATCAAAGAACCATGTCTAAGACAGTCCCTGTTCCCCTTACTAGGAACCCACTTGGAGACTGAGCTGCCATGGGCTACATCTGAGCATCAAACCTCATCAACAGCCACCAAGAGGCAGCAGGGGGAGCACTAGCAGCCCATGTCTTTCTTGGAGCCCCTCCCCACCCCTTTCTCTCTTTAGGCTCTGGCACTTTTTCCCTCTCAAAATCCTCAGAATTAAACTCTGCAGCTGGCAAAGATCACACCCCTATCAGAGCCTGCACGAGGAAAATATTCTGCTGCTGTAAACAATCTGAGGCGGGACCATATCCCACACCTAGGATTAAAACAAAAATATGTTTACAAATCGTAACTGAGTTTTAAAGACATCAAAACTCCCACTACAATCTAGGTTTGATCTCAGTACCCACATGGCAGTTCACAACTGCTTTGATCTTCAGAATCTTCATACATGGCCTTGTGTCTCCATCCATAGCGACTTATGTTAACCTTGCATAACTTTTTTTAGAACATAGTTCAAAAGTGAGCCTTTCATGTACAGAACGAGAAAGTATTCATAGCTAAATAAACTGGAGCTCTACTTGGAAAGTCATGTTAACAGCTTTAGGAGCATGAAATGACTGCTTTTGTACAGAAAGGTCTGGACTGTTTTAGAAGAACTTCTTGTCACCTGCAGGGCAGTGCTTACTTACTCTTACACTTTTTCTCTCACTTCCTAGGTGGTCTGCCATCAGTGAAAACTTGTTTGCAACCACTGGATATCCTGGCAAAATGGCAACTCAGTTTCAGATTCATCATTTAGGACACTCTCAGGTAATACAAAAATGTTTCATGGCCTTCATGGGTAGTTGTTTTTTTAAACTGGGTTTTTTTACTTTTCTATCCATAGCTCCCAAATTTGCAATTATTAACTAAAAATATTTATGTCTGCTATCAGCTTAAACTGAAAGATTTTTTTTCTTTTAATGTTTTAATCACCAGTAGCAATAGATTATTTTTTCTCAAAATTAATGTAAAAATTATATTTCATCTGTGCCATCTGCATTTTAACTTTCATTTAAGTATATTAATTTTGCTTTCTTGGTTTGTGTAGACTACAGAAATTTTTGATTATGGACTGTACCCATTATTCACAGGTAGACTAGGTTTTCATTCAAGTAAGATGCAAATGGATAATGTGTAATTCATCATTATTATGCTTCTCCTACAAACACAGTTTTTCAATATATTTCTTTATTTTATGTGTATGAATGTCTTACCTGCATGTCTATATGTGCACCAGATGCATGCCTGGTGTTCATGGAGGTTGAAGGAGGTTATTGTATCCTCCTAGAACTGGCATTAGAGGTGGTTGTGAACAGCTGTGTAGGGGCTAGGAATTGAACCCTGGGTCCTAGAAAAGTTCTCTAAGCCACTGAGCCATCTTCTAGTCCCATTTCTTACTTGTAAAAGTAGTCTAGGGGCTGGCAAAGAGTCTGCTGCTCTGTAGTTGGTTTCCTGCACATATTTCTTACAGGAGAGCACCTCCACTGTCTGTTTAAACTCCTGCCTGCTCTTGTTGCACTGATGAGATATCTCCTCCGTGATGCTGTCTCTGCCTCTCAAGGAGATAATAGTTTAATAAGTAACATCTCTTCCTATAAATAATGACAATTTTTCATCAACACTTACCAAGCACTTAAATGTAAAATACATTCCTTTAAAAAGAAAAGTAATGGGTTTTTGTTTGTTTGTTTTGTTTTGAGTTGTGGGCTCACTGCTTCTTAATTCCTCACGTATTTTCCAGCCCATCCTCATTGGTTGTATAGCTGTCGGATCGGGTCTCTCCTGGCACAGAACGCTCCCACTGTGTGCAGTTGGAGGAGATCACAAGCTCTTGTTCTGGGTGACAGAAATATGATTTTCCTCTGTATTTTTGATCTTACATTTGTATTTGTATTTTATATATTTTGGAGAAATCCTTATTTTTATATCAAATATACTGTAAATCTAGAAATGCCTCAGTTGTCTTTTCTGACAAATAAAATGATAGACTCCTTGAAAAACATTTGACTGTTGTACTTTGTTGTGTACCAAATGTCTGTGTACATATGCCCAAATACCTTTAAATACCTTGTAAGGGTTGAATAATCTACTTAACAACTATATATCCTAGCCTCTATACTTTGAGTGTATATACTTCTCCTGATTGTCGAGATAAAACCAGTGAGAACCCAGAAGTTAAGCAACTGGACACCATATTTGAAAATTGTCATCTTAGGCTTATGGAGTGATGTAAAAACAAAGTTCATTGTGTGTAGGGATCGAGTTTGGGACACAAGTATGCTGAAGTCGGGACCTATGTGTCTGATGGAATCATTTAGTATAACTGCCATCTGCTTATTAAAGGTAGCTATTTTGAGGAAAGATAACTTATAGATGTTTAAATGCAGTTTTGCCAAAAAGAGACTGGAGGTATTAACCGAAAAGGGAAGAAAATGCTGTTTCCAATGGTAAATTAAATATTACTATATAATAAAACATTTTCAAGAAATAAGAGGGATTCCTTCACCTCTCAGTTGAAAGAATAGTTCGCTATTACCCTTAGTCACACATAGGTCACAGGACACTTTTCAGCTTCTCATCTGTTATGCTCAATTGTATTCTTTGCAGTGGTATCATGGCACTCTTTCCTTAGTAAACCTGTTCTTTAAAATGTATTTCCGGCTGGACAGTGGCGGCTCACGCCTTTAGATCCCAGGGTTTGGGAAGCAGAGGCAGAGGCAGGTGCGTCTATGAGTTTGAGGCTAGTCTGGTCTACAGTGTGAGTTCCAGGACATCCAGGGCTACCCAGAGAAATCCTGTCTTGGAAAAAAGAGAGAGAGAAGAAAGAAGGGAAGGTGTTTCCATTAGACTAAAACAGAAGCCACAATCCAGCCTGTGATAGAGTCAGACCTTTTCTGTGGGTGGATGGATGGAAAAGACAGACTACAACTTGGGGAAATGCTCCTGGGAGTTGTTAGTCATTACTCTTGTTTCTTGGTGAAAAAAAAAAAACTTGGGTTCTGATATTGTGTGTTTCCTGGGTTTAGTTTTCTGTTTGTTTATAAATATGTCTAAGAAGGTTTTCCTTCTGTTGACATTTCCCTCAAGATGGCTTCACTCACAAACATCATAGAAAGAAAAAAAACGTGTGCTTATATGTTAGGACTTGCGTTGTTTGACACTGTTAAATAAAGTCGGGATCTCACAAATCTGCAGCATGTCAGAACTAATCCTATTCTTTCAAGATGATAAGGTCATAATGTCGCCTTTTCATGATCTGGCTGTTCAGAAATTTCAGTGTCTCCCTCGTGCCAAAACACAGAATGATATACTTGTGTTTGTTTCTTACTTTGATAATTTTTGACACTGAGCTAGATATGTTCCCATGGCTGTTTTAAATTTCATGTCAATACAGCTCTTTCATCACTTCCCCCTGGGGGGTTGGAGTGGGGGGTCAGCCCTGCCAGGCCACAAAGAAAGGATGCAGCCAGTTCTGATGGGACCTGATAGGATAGGGTCAGGAGTAGGGAGGAGGACCTCTCCTACCAGTGGACTAGGGGAGGGGCACAAGGAGAGAAGAGGGAGGGAGGGTGGGACTGGGAGGAGATGAAGCAGTGGGCTACAGCGGGATACAAAGTGAATAAACTGCACTAAGAATAAATCAAGAAAAAAAGGAAAAAATTGATGTCAGTAGAGAAAAAAAATGAAATTTGTTTTGTACATATGTGACTTGGTTGTTGTTGTTGTTGCTTCTAATTTGTCCAGAACCAGACTTTATCCCAGAAATGCTGAGGGAGTTATAAGACATTATTATGCCTCAAGCTACTTTTAATAGTTCTAAGAAAAGAACTATTCCAGACTATTTTCATCATTTTTCTGTAGTTCAAAAGTTAACTCAATTTTACCCAGCCGTACCTTTGCTCTAAGCAGAAGTATGCTTTCAGGTGGAAATGACTGTTTTGATTGGTTATGTCCTCAGTTTCCATTACAGGAGCTCAGTTGAGTCCTTAGCTGCATTCTACTCCAGTGTCTCTGGTGCTCAGTAACAGGGCAGGGCCAAGCAGTTTCTTTAATAGTACACCTTGCTGATTCAAAAGCATCTATATCTTTAAATGTAATTGTGCATTTAAAAATCTGAAACCCTACGACACAGGCTTAGTTTTCTTTTCTCCCTCCGAGACCTCTCATGTACCCACTCCACACCCCTGCTCTCTTCCAAATTTTGGCCTCCTTTTTCATTCTTAAACACCTAATACAACCTGCTCCGTCTGGGTAATGTTACTTGTATATACGTTTTCAGGGCAAACCATTTAGTATTGGATAACCAGTTGGCGTTCTTCCCTGGTGAAGACTGTTTTCCCACCATAAGCATTCATTAATTGCCTCTAGTTCTTTATGCAGGGTTGAAGCCTCCTGGGCTTTCTCTTTGTCAACTTTGACATGACTCTTTGTGTCCTTATCTAGCTCATGTTTAGGCAGTCACATTAGTGAGACATAGATGTAGCTTCTGAAATTACAAGGAGTCATAATCTCACAGCAAACCCCTTGGGGATCCTCTCTTACAATTTTCTACCTGCTCTTCCGTAATCCTCCCCTGATCTTAGGTGTAGCAATTGTGTTGTAAATGTATCCGTTGGAACTAGGTTCCACAACTATGCATTTTGATTATGGGTTTCAGTAATGGATTTCATCTGTTGCTAAGAGCAGTTTCATTGATGAAAGGTTGGAACTACACTTATCTGTGGGTAGAAGAACAAATATTTAGAAGGTAATAGGGATTATACTAGTTTAGTAATGTTTTATTTGTGAGTTCTCCTCCAGGGTCCATGATTTTACTGGCTCTAAATAATTGGCCAGATTTCCAGTACTAGTCATGATTTCCCTCTTGTTGAAAAGATCTGTTAGAGAACTGTTGATTACCACCAAGGTATGTATGTCACTACTGTACCCTTAAGGTTACCATGCCATTTCTGGTCATGATGGTTTATAGGCATCATAGCTGGGCAAGACTGTCAGTTGTTCCCCTCCTTTTGAAGCTTGTATAGCACCTCCTAGTACCATGAAAGCTGGTCCCCTCAGGTCGTCTGGGCCCTGTGTTCAAAGTACATGTTGTTTTCAGCAATAAGGACTTATCTCCCACCTCTGGTGGGCAATTGTAAGCCTATAATATTTGGACAGTCTCTAGACAACACTCACTAACAACTCAAAGGAAAGCTTCTCATGCCTAGTATTAGGGCTTTTGTTAGATAAAGACCCAGACTTTTTTAATTAGCATGACTTTATAATGAACATTTATTACCTAAGCACAGTAATACAATAAACCGTTAAACTATCGCCTTGAAGATCTCATTTTATGAAAGGGAAAATTCATGTTTTATGATGTGTTGACTGCCATGTTCAACATGAGCAGTGTCTATTGCACACGTAGTCACAGCCTTTATGGAAGGTGAAAGCATTAATCTACTTTCTGGCCTTTCAGCTGCTTGTAACTAACCTGGTAAAACAATTGCCACCCTGAGTAGGAACAGGTGACATTTTGTCTGGAAATTTCTTTGAATCAACTTACTTCCATGTATGCCTTTGTCCTGTCATTCTTTGCATTCTGGGGTAATTTTTGACCAAAGACCTTGGAGCTCATAACACTTATGAGCTTATAAACTCCATATGTACAATGAATAGTGAACAAAACGAAGGCTACCAGGTTTCTTGACCTTTGCATAACTTGACCTTCTTGACCTTTAGCATAACTCAATAGATGTATTGTTTATAAAATAAGAATTTCTACCATCTGCATTTAGAGTGCTTTATTGTCTCTATTTCAATGTAATAAAAGACAAAGCCTCTGGCTTCTTTCCTTATGATAGTGGTTAACTACACAACTTTGATCTTTCTTATAAACACAGCTGTCGTCCTATCATTGAGTAAAATCCAGACAAGATTAGACTCTGGCCAAAATGAAGGTTAATCTTTGCAGCCATCTCAAGTAAGAGCTTTCTAATACTGTTTTAGGAAATCTCTACTTCTGAGACCGTGTACAAAGGGAATAAGGTCTCAGACAGTCTCTAAAGGAAGCCAGAGTCTTTACCACAGTAATAGGAAAGTGGAAGGCAACCAAATTAGTCCATTTTGCTTTGTTTCTGCTTAGACTGTGATCTTGAGAAATGACTCTTCTTAGTTCACATCAAGTTTAAATCAAACCAAAATAAGTTACTTTTTACTGAACTTCGTATTAATTCTTTGGTCTTTCTTTCACTAATCCTAGTGAAAATTAAACGAATTAAACGAAATTAAACGAATTAAACTTCGTATTAATTCTTTGGTCTTTCTTTCACTAATCCTAGTGAAAATGAAGTGACTGCTCATTAAAATAGAACAGGTGTATTTTATTACAAATACTGTACTATGTTGTGGGTCATTCTCCTTATATATAAACACTAGTGCAAGCTATGCTATAAGTGCTCAACTATGCATCTCTCCAAATTGCCTGTTGCTGGAGAACATCTGTGGAAGTATCCCTCACCTGAAATATGTGGAGTTCTATTTACCTATTAAAAGTTTCCTGGGACTGGAGAGATGGCTCAGTGAATAAGAGTACTGTCTGCTTTTCCAGAGGTCCTGAGTTCAATTCCCAGGAAGGCTCAAAACTATGTCTACTGGAATCTGATGCCTTCTGGCCTGCAGGCTTACATACAGATAAAGCATGCATACATAAAATAGATAAATAAAATCTTCTTTTAAAAAAGTTTCCTGGTACTTGATTTTCAGCAAATCATGTGTACTTCTGCTTCCAAGGTCTCGTCACCTCCTGGATTTGCCTGACAAATGCAGTATGCTTATGTCTGAGGAGCAGTTCTGAAATTGTGAAGTATTTGCTGAGTCCTTTCTGCATCATGCCACCTAGATGCTACAATCCTAAGATGTGTTCTGTGCACATATACTCTTAGCAAGACCTTGGATCATTGCTCCTTAAACCTGCTGATGGAAAATACCTAGAACACAAATAATTTCGTATTATCACTATTA